TCGCGTAGTTGGTGGAGTAGCTGTTCGAGCAGCGCGTGCATACGCAGTTTTATGAAATAGGTGATGCAAATTGAACGGAGTAACTAGTCTATCGTGAAGTCAGCGGGTCGTCACGGAGGAAATCAATTGGTACATCGCGTCGGTGTCGCGACCAACACACTGGCCTACATGTCTGTTTATCGTCGGCTCGTACAAGCTCGCATTTAACGTTTCTCGCGTTTCCCCTCGCATTCTTCGGCCGAATTTTCCTAGTCTTAGGAGCACAGGCGACGACGCAGTCGCGGAAAAGGCGACCGCAGCCTTACGCGATGGCGCAGTTCTACGCACCCGGTGCACCCCTCGTCGTCCATGCATCCCTTGCCTCGTACACACGCGTACACACACGTCCGTGTTTCCTCTTTCCTCTTAACTCGCCAACAATCCCGGCCTCGCGCCTCTCGAGTGCTATCCCAATCGCGGTTGTCTTTGGCACGACCTTCCGAAACGATTTTCACTCCGCTGAACCTTCTGCTTCTGTCGCTGTTCAAATCCACGCGTGCTGATGTCGAGCAAAGGGTGAGACAGAGGGTTAAACGACAGCTCGTTAAAGGGAAGCTTCAGGTAAACGAGGATCGCGAGCCAAGTGACCGAGAGCGATTCGATTGACCCATAATTGAGCGGTGAGGTCGAAGTCGTTGCATTCTGAATCGAAAAACCGGCGCGACTGATCGCAGAGATAACAAGGTCTCGCATTGACGCGTTTTGCGAATCTCCTATTCAATATCGCGAAGCCAACCGTCGTAAAGTCTGCAAAGTTCGTCAAGGTAAAACTCTTTACCCGTAAGTTGCCGATATCGCGTAGGTCGTGCTGATCGTGTCGTCGCTGCGAATCGAAAGAAACGTATACCTCTTTGATCCGGTTTCCGCGTATTTCCATCGCGTTGACTAACAAAAATCGATAACCTTGTGATCTACGCGTTTAATTCGCTCGCGCAACGTGTAGGGGAAAACCTATAAATGCGAAAATAAAGGAGAGTCCGATGAGGGAAACCGGGTCCGAAGAATGAACCTTCCTCGTGGAGAAAAAAGAAGTTCGACCGATAGACGTCTGCGATCCGAGGCGAGTACCATGGCCGCGTGGACAGGTGTAGGTTGTGGGTAGGTGACAGCGGATTGTGGGCCACTGGTGGATGACAGAGACAGCGCGCGCGAGAACTCCGCGACTAGCCATGACCCATATACTCACCCTCGTCGCGTCACCCTTGGCCAACCCCATCGCTGGAATCACCAGCGACCGGGCAGACGAATACGCCGCGCGTGTATAGGAGCCACGACGCGTACTTGTCCCTGATGATAGCCGGTCGCAAACGTAGCGCGAGGTCGAATCGCTCGTTAATCGGGATCTTGAAAATGTCATCGCTCGAAATAACAAATTCGCTCGAGCAAATTGCGAGACGTTTACTCCCTACGGGCCTGGGGCACCGACGTAATCGCGTTGTGCCTCGAGGGTGGAGCGTAGACGTCTCGTTAACCGGTAGACCCGTAAAACGTTACGCTCGGAGATTAGTCGATTTACTACGACTCGAAGCATGGATTTACGAGCGCGCGAAAATCACGCGAAATCTCAATGTGGATTCGGAAATTGTGGCGAATAAAAATTTGTAAATAATTAAAATCTCCATCGCATGGAAATATCTACTCCTGTTTTTTATTTTCTCTCCACGGGGATGGGGAAAATATCGGTATATATATTTAGCTCGGAGCATCGAACTCGCGGTTATTTACGACGACAGAAGGCAAAAATATCGAGGCGATTATTTCGCCCGATGGAAAGCGATCGAAGGATAAAAGGATACGTTCACGGGGTTGGACGGGACGCGTGTTGTTCTCTATGGTTCCGTTATTGCCGCGAAACTATGAAATCGCTGGAGCAGATCGAGCATGGATAACTTTATTATCGCGAACACCTGCACCTGCGGTGAGAATTGACTTGCTTGAAAGCCGTACGTCGGTTATAAACAGAATCGGATCGATGCCGGCCGCGTACGCCCCTGCACGCTGGTTGCGCGACTAATTATGGCCGTGTAATAAAAATCTGTTGCTGTCGTTCCGCGGCGCGTGTTCCATCGGGTCGTCCCCGCGGAACTCGAAGAAAATGTAAGAAAACGCGCGAGACGAGTCTCGCCTTGGGTAAATTAATTAATCGCGAAAGGAAGCGCATTTCCTCTCTGCGGCACGTGCAACGGGATAAACCCCTTGTTGTCGATAGCGGCAAGGGTGGGTGGGAACGGACAACACGGGAATCGGAGTAAATGGGTCGAGGACTAGGCGGAAATAGGTCAGCTTCGACCGAAGCGGATCGATGAGCAGCTTACGCGTTTCATTATGATCGTTATCGAAATGAAGCGTCGGTTTTCGTTGTTAATTCGTTGTTAATTCGCCATTGGAATGGAGAGTAAGCTGGTTTCGCGCGCGATCACGGTGACACGTTCCGCAACGCGAGCTCTCGTTTTCGAGAGACGTCGTCGTCATCCCCGAGTTTATTCCGAGATCGAGTTCCAGTTGTTTACAGCGTCGAAACGAAACGTTCTCGCGCGGTCTAAAAAAGCTCGAGGATACGATGCGGTTTAGTGGGAAAAGTCGCATCGCCAGCGTCCGTTCGAAGGATGCTCTCTTCGTTGCGGACGTTGCTCGAAATAACGGGTTGCGTCGACGTTCCGTGATAAACAGAGAAAGGGGAACTAGAAGAGAGAGGGGTGGAAGAAGCGCGACTGGTGGGGGGGGGGCAGGTGGGAAGAAGGGCGGACGTGGGAGAGAAAGACAGGAGGCGGTAGTTGCGATCTCCCGCCGCGAATCCGCTTAAAAATAAAGTCTTACGTTCGAGTCGGTTCGCGCGAAATCACAGGAGAGTTCTCTCGCTGACAGGGTCGAGGAAATATTTCGACCGGTAAGGCAAACGCGGAGGAGTGACGCGGGGAGGATCGAGTTCGAAGAGTGGCAGAGAGAGGGCGGGGACGAGGGAAGAACAACAATGGACGATTCCGTGAGTCGATATCGCGATCGCAACGACGTCCAGGTGTAAAGTGCCTACTTCGACAACTAGCGCGAAAACCGGAGTAAACTCGTGGTCGGATCTCTGGACGTGTCCGATGTTGATATCGAGAGGCGTGGATTCGCGAGCGCGAGCAAAATGACGACCACCCACGGAGGCCACGTGTATTACGTGATCAAGGTGCCCAAGGAGACGGATGGCAATGAAAGGTAATCGTCTTGAAAGCGAACGAGCTCTCGACCAGTCCCCTCGCTCCGTCGGTCTTACCCACGCGTGTTTCCACGTCAAATTTACGCGATTAGAATCAACCGAGTGTGGTCCACGCGATACTCTCCGACGGAGACGAGAGCTCTCTCGCCGTTTCCTCCACTCTTCACCCGATCGCGTAATAGAACGATTCGGGACAATGAGCATCGCGTGCGAAAGTTCGAAGTTTTCCGCGTTCCGTACGCTTTACCCAAGTGCACAGTGAAATTGAACGCATCGCGGAAATTTGGAAAGATAGCTTGCGGAATACTCTAGCCTATATATACAGACGGAACCACGTTCCGTTTTTGTACTGCGCTACGGTCGCAAACGTGACACATATACGAATATATCTACGTATACTCGCTACAGACGCGTTACACGCGCGGACATCAATGACAGTTCAAAAATAAAACGATACATTCGCCGTGATTTGGTTAATTTCCCGCTGCTACCAACCCGAAAGTATCCATTTTCTCGAAATTGCGTCTGTTGGCAATCTCGATGGCGCGATATTTAAAAGTTACTACGCGAATCATCTGCGATTCGAAATACCGACGTAGTGCTAACGTATTATACGTTTTGTTCGTAGTAAAAAAATCTCGTCAGTATTACCGACCCGTGTCCAAGGGCTAAAGCCAAAGAAATATCACGAGCATCGGGGTCCTTGAGGCCAGTCGAAAAACGATTACCCTCGGTCGGTAATCTATCATTCGACAGCGATCAGTGACCAACTTCTTGATAGCAACATAAATAACGCGACCGCTTCCTTGCTCGGACGTGAAAGACTCCGCTTGTCGTCGCGTAAATCGACGGTTCCCTCCATTGTCGTGCGATGGCGGAACTGCGGACAAACGCGATGGAATGCAATTCGCGGAAATTAATCGCGCAGCAGGGAAAGCGAGGGAATCGGCACTCGGTTTCGCAATATCGAACATTATTAGTCCTGTTGGCCCTGGTCCAACGGTTCCGACGAGCTTACTAACCATTTCACCTCAGTTTCCCTACCGAATACTCGTTTCCCCCTCCCTGTTTTTCGTTTCTTCATTCCCATCGTTCGATCATCTACCCCTTCCTTTCCTTTCGTTTTAACAAATTATATATCGTAATTAAACCCGTTAAATTTTCTCTCTTTTTTTCATTTCTTTTACCTCCTCTTTTTCCCCCTTTGTTTTTCTCTCTTTTCTCCGAACGATATCAACGTTGCATTTTATTCGATGCGACGTATACGCATACTTTACTGGGAAAAGCATTGAAAGGATCGCGCGACTCGACGAAACGTGAATCACGAATGCTTTTCGACTAGCTCTCGGGAATGATTGCGTGTGCACTCGTTACACGTGCAACGCCAAAAGAGGGGAAGATAGGCTACAATTAGGTGCAATCCGATATCGTGGTCAATGTCACGGTTAACTAAGAGTGGCAATTATAATTAAAGCTACTTTATGGTAATATTTCAAGCACGGGGTAAGAAATACGATAGATAAATATACGGATGTATGTACCTAGACAAGCTAATATTCGCTTGTTATCGCGAATCTCGAGACGAGTGTCGCTTTATTGAAAAAACTAAAAAGGAGAAGGGAAAAAAAGAAAAACCGTGAATATTTTCATTAGAAAAGTGATTAGCGACACTGCGAGGGTAAAATTTGATATTTCGAATGGTGTAAATTAGTCATCCGCGTCTACGACGTGGATTATAACGGGAAAAATTCATTTTCAGCACCGACAGTGGATGGGATAATCCATTCAGACCCGACGGCGACCTGTCCAGGGAAGCCGACGAGATAGTGGAATTGATAAAAGGCGGAAAACCTATCACTCCGACCCCTGGACAAACTGCTCCCCCGTTGCCAGGATGCGACAACGTGACCAGCAACGTGCAGACCACCGTCGACCACGACTCCAGTTCCAGCCCCTTGCTGAAATCCTCCGCGAACTCGACGAATCGGCTCGCGAACTCGTCGCCGAAGCCCGGCCAGGAAAACGGAAACGCCCATGGCACTCCGATGAAAGCTGCGACTGCGAACAGCCAGCAGCCTGTCAACGATAAGGTGACGATCCCCTGCCGTTTCTAATCACGCGATCCGCGTGATCCGGTCGCGTCATCTGCCAACCATCCGACCTGTTGGTGCACTCGCCACTCGTTCGTCTCGTAAAAATTATGAGTCATCTAAACAGTTAACGGTGGTTTGAATCGCGGTAAAGTTCGCGGCTCGCGATCAATGCGGCAAACCGTTACCGAAGGAAAGTTGGAACGTTTTCTTCCTCGAGAAGTCAAATGTATCACGTCCGGGAGAATGTCTTTCGCGTTCAAATAGCGAATGTCAGCCGACGTTAGGACGATAGTGGAATTTTTGTTGGGAAGAATGATCGATGACGGTAATCGTTTTAGCGGTGTACGAAAGAGTAAAAAGGTTAGGTGCGAAAGAGTAAAGAGACGTTGTTGAATGTACAGGTTGTCACATCGTCGAGAGCAGCTACCGTCGAAGTGGCTAGAATGACAGCGCAGGGACCAGGCGACGCTTCGCAGGTCGAACACGTCACCTTGAAGAAGAAGCCTAAATGTAAATGTTGTCTTCTGCAGTAATGGAAAGGAAGCAAGCCATCGCGTGGATGTCTCAGCAGACGGATGATCGTCCGTTGTTGAAGATGCATCGTGACATGGTCGCCGATGAATTGTCGGTTCACGTTTCTCGAAATGGTCGCTATACGAGTGCCGTGGAAAACATTGTAATTCCCTTTGTTACACCCTACTCCAAAAACGAGTTTCGCGGAGAGGTGGAGGAACGCAGCTACGAAGAGGAAATGTGCGATCGCGTGAACGCCGCGTCGTATTCTATTTTCCGAAACGGGTTCGAGAATTTTCCTACGGCGGGGATACGAGTTGGTCGCGTTGATCATCGTCGAAAGCAAGCTGCTGCTAGATGGAGTGGAGATGTCCTGAAAAAATGCGAGCGATGGCTATCGATACGAATGAAAAGAGAATCCCGATACTGGTCGAAGCGACGATGATATCGAGCGAATTGATACGACGCGACACTGGAAGATACCTGACCGAGCGTAAAAGCACCGAGCCTCTTGATAGCCTTTCAGAAAGACAGTGGAGTGTCTATAAAGTAACAGACTATATAAAAGGAGAGAATAAAAAAAAATATATATATATATATACACATAAAACTATATTGTAGATACAGAAATGGTAGTTGTATAGCTTATATGCTTTTACTATTGTGGTTAATTACTGTCAAAATTATCGTGATTTCGAGAATGTGTTCGCGCATTATCGCGCGCGAAAATGGCAAGACGCGAGCGTGAAAGAAAAAAAGTCGCAGTTGCACAGAATGTTTAAAACTTACCGAGTTTACAGAACGCTATTACTTCGTTGGACATCGATATAATATCATAGATTCATAGACTCTCGTTTTTACTAAAACTCAAAACCTCTATAGGCAGAACTTTTACGAAATTTTTTAACATCGCGTAGAATGTGTGCGCTATCGAAGGGCTGTACCGATGGTCGTGAAAGAGACGCGCAACTCGATGAAAAGAGAAACGTCAAGCCAGCCGTATTTTTTTCTCGCGTCTAAGCATGAGAACGCGTAGAATTTTTTCTCTTCGCGGAGAAGATATCATCTATCGAACTGCTTTACTTTCACACACAAACACACACACACACACACACAGATCTTTTCTATTCCGTTGCTGTTCTTTTCTACACCTCGCATCAAAGAAACGCAAACCTATCGAAAGAGAAACCTGTAATTAAACGAGCTGGCGCTCGATAGTCCAAACGCGTGAGTAACTATTCAGGATCGTCAAACATGAAATGTGTAAATATCGCGATATTTTTTGAAACAAAATGTGTGATTGTCGGCGATCCGAAGAGTGCGAGAACGCGTTACGTTCCATTCGAGTTGGTGCGGACGAACGGATTCGACGACGGCTTGCTCTCCGCACTCGAACTCTGGTTTCTCGATTGCTGCAGCGGCACAAATTAATTACGCATCGAGAGAACTATGATGAACTCGTAAGTGGCAAGGCTCACGAATAATCGTTTAGCGATTCCTTTCTCGAGACACATTTTCGATTCGATGACCGTGTGCACGTCTTACGAATTATTTATTTCCTTTTACCCCGTATATTTTTATTTCGACGTGTCCATTCGCCGCTTCATCCCTTTTTAATTCTATGTAACGTTGTATACGTGTATTTCAAAGCAAATCTTTTTAAAGGTGTATAGATTTAAAAAAGACACGCGATTAAAGGGATACGAGTAAATGACGCGTTTACGAGACGAACATTGTAGAAACGCTTCGGTGTTCGTTGGCAAGAAAACCGTTGATCGGTTCTATGCGTACTAATTATATAAGAAAGGAAGAAAGCAGGAAAAAAGAAAGGAGTTAAATCGTGTATCTTCACTGCACCAGAAGAACTGCTGCTCGCGATTGTCGAGCCGTTACGTCTAAGGAACAGATGACACAAGGATCCGCCCTGTATCGAGCGGTGCTTGGTTCGCATTAATGGTTGTACGTGTGTGCGTGGCTGCGTATCTGCGCGAGTGCCTGTATTTTTTAATACACATATCCGCATATTTTTTCTAGATCGCCGGGGCAAAAGATATTTATGAAAAATCTGCGATATTTGGGTGAAGGATGATGGAGTAAGAGAACGGAAGAAGGAACGACAACGGCACAAGAAGAACAATAAGGTTTCCTTTATTTTCATTCATCGTACGCTGTTGCAATGTATGTACGGTACAGAGTGTAATATAAAGTTGTAAGTAATAGAAGAAGATCCTGAATAATTTACTCGCGTCCTCGCAAATTGCAATCGCAAGACGACGTACCAGCAAGCGAACCTGAACGGAAGAAGTACTAAATACTATGTGTATATCTTTGAAAAAAGAAAAAAGAAAAAAAAAACATACATATATATATTTACGCGTTTGCACACTCGCGTGTACACGCTCACGCACACGCACACGCGCACGAAACGTGGAAACATTCAAGAATTCCGAAGACCTTTCCGAAGAATTCCGCTCCGATTCGTGTTTCTCAAACTAATAATATCAAATCTACATGGATATTCGATCTTTACACTGGAAATCTCTTCAACTTTAATGGTTTTGACGTGCCACGAGCATAGTCCGTGAACGCGTAAACAACCGATTATTTGAGAGGTAAACGCTGCTTGTAAACACGATCGGAAGAATGGCGCGATACTCTCCAGGCTTCGTTTCCTTACGCCAATAGTTTCTTTTGGCTACCTAAAACGCTCGTGTCGTGTCAAAACTATTAAATTTAACGTCATACTCTTTTTATATAATATATATCTACGTGAACTCTATACGAAGATTAGATTAATTTAACAAACATTTCGGTGTTAAAATTGGCGGAAATTGGAGCGATCTGATTGAAGCAATGGGACGAAATTCGTTATGAAACGAAAGGGCGCGACTAATTCGAATCACGAACACACATACAACACGCATACACTACATACCACGTTACACTACACCACACCGATGTTTTGGTCTCTGAAAGTCTTACCGCGTTTCGTCGAGTACATAAGTATATTTTGTATCGAAAGAAAATTGAATGTTCGATCATACAAGTTATACGTAATGCTGGATAAAGAGAAGTACGAAGGGTGCTGAGTAACGAAGTTCAAAGGTATTATTTTATTAAGCGAAAATGTAGGCGTGTGCGCGCAAACAACCGGTGACACAAATCAGCATAATTCGCGCGCACGCGTGGTGTGTTCAATTATAAAAGCGTATGTAAGACGCCGTCGAAGTTTCCCTATTCAACGTCACGACGTTAGGGCATTTTTTAATGTATAAAAAGTACCACGAGAGTAGATTCAGAGCCGAAAACGATTCGAGCGGAAAGTTCGCATGACCAACACGCGTTCGACGTGTCATGTTAAACCAGAATCGGTTCTTTTACTTCAACGATTGACTGTTTACGCGCTCGAAAAAGATTACCTTTAATTTAAACGCAAATCTAAATTTAACACTGCCTGTGATATCGAAAGCAATCTTATTCTCGCGTTGGTGAATCATTCCAAATATCTAAATGACTAATAGAGAATCGAAATAATAGCTGTCGATCGAGTACGAGAATTTTGTAATCCTGTGACAACTTAACTTCAACGACGTAACGTTAATCAAAATTTTCTTCATCCCATTCAAGCTCTGAACCTATGTTGACGGCACTTTATAAACATTAAAAAAAAAAAACAATTGCTTGGATAACAGACAAGTGCACGCCCCGAGATAATCTCTGGTGAAATATTTTCAATCGATCACGGCGAGTCAGGCGAGTGGAGCGAGTCGAGCAAGTCGAGCGAGTGAAGCGAGCGAAGCGAGTCGTCGAGTTGCACGAAAAAACGCGACGTTACCAACGAGTGGAATCCACCGAAACTCTTAACGTCTGTTCCCACGCAAAATGTTGATTTTGCTGAGCTTACAGATAATGAGCGAATATTAAATGTCTTGTTAAGAAAAAAAAAAAAAGAACAAAAACAAGAGAATAGAAAACGTCTCAAGAGAAATCGAATCCCTTCAAACCCACCACTTCTCCCTTTCTTCTTCGCTTTTCCTTCGATTCGACAAGAATAGCATTAAAATAGAAGCGAAGGACATCACCTTTACGAGTCTTTTCCTGTATATGGTTCTTTGCCTTTGTCGGCTTATATTGACGCAATGTTCCATTAAAATTTAACGATCTAACGACGAAAAAGTAAAATCATCTGGAATTGCAAAAGAATGTTCACGGAGATAAACAAGAAAAATAAAGATTACGAAAACCTATCGAATAATAATAATAATCGGAGAGGCAAAGAAAGATAAATTTTCGTTGTCGAACGAACGGTTGCTCGAGATTAACATTGGCCGCGCGATCGTTCTTTCGTTACCTCCGTTTCGCATTTTAATCGAACTGTCTCAGGATAACCAGCGAGAAGATTGCTACAAGGAATCTCGAAGACGAGTGGGAACACGTTTGGAAAAGTCAGATGTAAATCACGAAAGATAAATCCGTCGGGTCATGGAAAGTACGCGCATGAATATCGACTATCGTACGATAACGTACACGAATTACGTGATAGCGTGGATGTGCGCGCGTATAACTTCTTTCCAAGCGACAAAGTCCTTTCTCTCTTTTTCTCTCTCTTCCCTATCGCGAGGAGGAACAAGCCGTTCGAATTATGAAATCGTTACGTCGCGTAAACGATTGGTGCAGAATCGCGCAGCCGCCGAACACGAATATCCCATCGGGATGTTATCGGAGGTTATGTATCGGCCAAAACTTGGGATACTCACTTTCGAACAAGGTAACAGCGTTCACGATCGAATCCTGGCTGTTTGCCAACGATCGACTATGAAAGGACAATGACCCTTCCTCCGCATCATTCGCGTTGTCATTTATCCGAGCTGGAAGAACGAAATCGAAGTGGTAAAAGTGTTATTTTCAATAGACTAAGGTAAAGATCGAATAGTGAAAAGAAGATTCAGGTTAGATCAGACGATCTTTGAATCCGGCTTGAATCTGAACAACGATCGAAATCGGTCGTGAACGGAACGAAAGGGATCGTTAATCGAATCGTCGGCTACTGGGTGCTCGGAATGCTATGGGTTGGTACGAAAGGACGGAATAAAAGGGTAAAATGTCAGCGCGACTCTGTCGCTACCTACAAAAGAGCAAACGCATCCTATTAGCAGCCCGTGTGCCCTTAAAAGAGCGAAATCTCATCCATCGTAACGACGTTGGCCTTTGAATCGCGTGCCAAACGAATGGCGATAAATCCAGCCGTCTCCGTGGCCGAGAGAAAATGATCGCGAACGAATACGCGAGTTCGCGCGCGCAGGCGTACATGTCTCTCTTGCGACTAATTCATCGAGAACGTCGCTCCATGTATCCTGGGCGATACGCAACGATATGGTCATTTGATTCTATCGGGATGCAACACGGTGCGTTTCTTCGTGCCTTCCGTAGGATTTCTCGACCACCTCGAGACTGCGCATTATCGTCATTCGATAAGAAATCTCCTTTATCAGATTAACACTCGGTACACGAAAATAACTGTAAAACGTAATCCACGCTACCGAATAGTCGCTTATATTTCAGGATTATATTCCGATTAATTTCCTAGATACTTGTATCGACCTGTAACGCGGTCTTTTCTCATTCTTTAATACCACTTCGTGCTTGTATTTGTTTACCTATTAAACTTCATCGTTAAATGATGAAAATATGAATATTTCATTCTTCGTAAACCATTTATCACGAAAAAAAAAAAAACTAAAATAAAATTTTTGAATTGATACTTTTAGGACAGCACATTGAAACAAAACGAATTTCAGGAATCGAGAAATGAACGAATGAATTAATTGACAAATTAAGAAGATCTAAACTACGAATATGATAAGTAATTATACATAGGATAAATAGAAGGGAATGTCTCAATTTGGAAAATTCGCTGCAACTGAGGAAATCATATCACGAGGAAAAGATAGGTATCGTGAAAGAAAAAAACTATAAAAAAATACTACGATTGCAACGTTCTTCAAAATGGTGAAAAGTCTTTAAATTTGTCTTGTATCAGAGCTTGTAACAGTGCCAAATAATAGGAGGCAGCAGGAAGAAAGAAATAAGAATAGAACGATCGGCGACGAACACGATCCCTGCGATCCCCTACGACAATCAATGGTCTCAGAGAGGGGAAAAAAACATCGTCCTTGCATAGAGCTAGTGTCGGATATATAAAAGCTGCCAGAGCGAAGGAGCGCAGATGTAAGTGGTTTCTGAAATCCACCGAGATCGTCGCGAGTGCTACGGGGGATGCCATTTAAAGTGTCATCAAGTGTAATTGATCTATAGTGACGATGACCACTCGAAAAATTGTGCCCCGAACGCTGGTATGTTTTCAATTCGTTTCAAAGTAACCATGAGGTAATTTGAAATTTGAAATCGTAGGTCTTTGCGTTTCTTCCCTTCTTTCCCGCGCGAAGAGCTCGCATGTACGCGTCGTATATAAGCAGAAGAAACACGACTCGTTTACGATTTTCTTTTTCCCTTGTCGAATAAAGAAGCGAATAAATGGGGTTTAATAAATAAAAATATCATTGGTCGGAAAGGTTTGCAACGATCGGTCTTGCGTTCGTATCGATTGAAAAGTAATGAATTAAATAGAAAGTGTCCTATCGATATAATTGCACACGTATCGATGCGATGTGTGCTAAGACAGATAACAGATCGTAAGATCGTACTTTTACCGTACGCTCCCTCATCGGTCAAGAGGTCATCACGAATCGTGCGACACGAAAGTCTCGAAATCACCTCGGGCAAACAGCTACTTATTACGTATCGAAGAGAAACGAATAATTCCTGTAAGGTGTATACACGGAAACCATCTGAAAAAAAAAAAAATGTTAATTGTGCTTTGTGTAAGGTGCATAGAAAGTTTTACGGAAATCATGAGACACTGCCAAAGCTGTTTTCGTTAATTTCATTTTACCCCATTCCTCTCTGATTACTTCGTGCATGGGTTTCCTAGATTCTCTGGCTAGTGATCCTCGGCACGTGGCGTTGTATCGGTGAAAAATTATCACCCGACCAGAAGGCACCTTTGTTTGCTCGTGGCTCTGGTGGGCTGATCCTGAATACACCATTTGAGGACAATAAAGCCAAGAATCGTCCGATTTCGAACGTAAATTCACCAGTGGACAACGTAGAAAAAGAAGAGTCAGAAATGCTGAAATTGGTGGACGGTGAGCTAGTGCGAACTGTAAAAGGAAGCTTCTCTTATAAAAGTCCTGAAGGTCTCCCCATCTCTGTAAAGTGAGCAACAATTTTCTTAATTTTTATCATCCTGTTATTTCCATTAACATTTCATCTTATTTTCATATATATTTGAAGGTATGAGGCTGATGAAAATGGAAATAAAGCCAGTTTCAAGTTTGGTACCGGTGATGCAAATAATGGTGGTTTATCTTCCTCCAATCGCTCTCCTGGATCAAGAGATCAAAATAGTCGAGGTGGTAGTCAAACTACTCAAGGATCTAAGGGTCCTAAAGGTAGTTCGTACCTACCACCGAAAGACGTTGATAGAAGTTACCTACCGCCACAATAGAACCTTCTCCCTACTTCTTTCAAATTATACTCAACGAATCGTCGATTCCCTTCGAATTACTTTGGAAAATAAGTTTTTCGCTGACCTTATAAATCAAAAGGAACGCTCTCCTGTAATTCTTCAAGATTATTTTCACTTGTAACAAAAATACTGTCATGTTGTCGACGTTGCATATTGTCTTTCTTAACTATTTTTACATAACTTGCCAATCAACACAACACAAATGTTTTTAAAGCAATCCAACAATCACTCAATACACATTTCGAATCAGTCACTTTTCAAAACATGACTATTAGCGCCTTACTTAAATGTTACTTTCAAAGAAATCGCTCGACATTTGAGTAATCGCGAGGTAATTGGAAAACTAGTTGATTCATTATTAAACTTTTATAAACTAAGAAATAAAATATATTTTTTCACAGATGCTTATATTACAATTTAACAACCTTACCAATAATTATGCCCTCTCATTTTTTCATACCATTCTCTTTACATACAACAATACACACACGCACATCCATACGTACATTATAACATACATATACGCACATTCATTGCTCCACTGAATGAGAAATTGAATCCTTTACGTACTCAAATCGTACCAATACTTCAAATCGTAAAAAATATTTATTTTTACGAAATTTAATAACTTTACAAAGAAACAAAATATTTTGTAGATACGATGACTTGATTAGTGTTCATCTTTCGGAACCACGATAGGTAGTGTAGCCAAATGGGCTCAGAAGCACTGGTATGTGATAGTGACCGGCAGGATTTTTCACATCAAAAACAATCTCGATGAAAGGATACATCGTTTCTATCCTTCTTAGCGTAAAATACTTGTCAACATCAAAATGAATCTTGTAACGTCCAGCTGTGAAATTGACTTTCATATTGTCCACCAAATCTACACAACGACCATTCGGACTCGTATTACTGGAATAGAGAGACGCCAAAATACTGCGTATTTTGTTAAAAAGATAATAGACATCGATGGTATAAGTATAAATAATGTTTGATTTGGACATTATACCTCTCATTTAAAAAGGTCCATCTTCCATCCATTAACTTATAAAGACTAACTTGCAATCCTCCAATTGGTAAACCTTTACTTGTATCGACTACATGAGTAGAAATACGAGGCTTTTTAATCACAGGAGTCTTAATAGTCTTTAGAAGCACATGCTAAAATAAAAATCTGATATTTAAAAATCGGTAGGAAATAAATGTTACTGATTTACGACTACAAAAATCGACGTACCTTTTTCGAATTTTGATAACTAGTACTTGCTACAGCTAGCTGATCCTTGTTTATTTGAACGCCTTTTGTGGCGTCCTCTACTTGATTAGCTGCAATTGCAGTTTTCTTATCAGCCATTACCAATGTAGGAAATTTACCCTTTAATTTACTCAGCACATACTGAGTACCAGGCTGGAATGTACCACCTGTTAAAGTTAGAGTTTTGCCACCTGACGTCAAAGTAATCGTTTTACTTTGTGCAGGTGCAATGGGAATTGTATTCACAGGCTGAAGCACACCAATAGTGTTAGTAGTAGATGCAACCGAAGAATTAATTTGATAGGCTGTACCTAAAATAGGTAATGAACATGCCACCATTATCCCTGAATCCCTTTGTTGTTTGCACTCATCTTGCTAAAACATCATTTATCGACATTACATCAAAAATTTGTATTAAAACATTATTTGCACATTAACAATCACAATGTACTTTTTATATTGCTATGTACAATATTTACCAATAATTTTACAGATTTTCTGTCTAATTTACTGTCGCTTCGTCTAATCGCTCTACCATTTTCACGAGATTCCTTTGGCAATTCTTTACTAGAATCTTCAGTATCAGGAAGAATTGACACAACTTGCATTTCTGAATTATTTTGATCTTCCGATTCTACAACCATTTCCATCTGTACAGCTCCTTGATTGTCTGCTTCCTCTAGATACTCACTCTGCATATGATCCATAGCCTCGGTCAAAGAATCCTCACAATTTTCCTAAATTAATTTTATTACAGTACTAATACAATGTATTCTCGAATTAAATTTACAAAATATTTGTTGCATTGAAACAAGAGTGTCACTGACCACTCTTTCTATCTTGATCTTTTTTATAGAATGCTTAATATCTTCTTCGTCAGAAGGCATTTGCAAATGTGCTACATCTTCCTCGTCTTCTTCCTCTTCTTCATCTTCAGCTTCGCCACCAACATCTTCTGTTGGATCTTTAATTTCAACTTCGTCTAGTTCGTCATCTGTTTCTAATCTCTCAACAACATATTCTATTTCATCTTCATTTTCATCTATCTCAGTTTGAGTGTGGTCAATAGCCTAATCAAAAAATAAACATCAACTTTTATTAAATATTATAACAACAATGCATATATATAATACAAATATGATTATAATCTAATTTTTTTACTAATATAACTTACAAGAAGAATAAAAGTTTATTTGAATAAATACAAAGCTAATTATATATTAGAAAAGAAGATAAACCTCAATTTCCTCAACCTCTTCTACTTCAACCTCTTCTCCTACATTTGCCTTTCGGGCTGCTGCCTTTTTTTTTTCTTCTGCTTCGTGTAATAGTGCAGCACGTTGGTGCTTCATTGTACATGTATGTTTTAACAAAGAAAGTCGATGCGCGTGAAGATTTTTCTTGCAATACATACAATAAGCACGTGTTGGTTGAAACGGCACGGATGTCAACCATCCTATGGTAAAATATATTAAATATTACTTTATTTGTTATTTTAGGTGCATTATTTTTTCTTTCAAATCGTTGCAACATGCTCTCTCGAATGGGCTGTCTCACTAAACACGTTTTAACCGTATGGTGATATCGACTCGACGGCTGATTTAACCAGTAGTACTTTTACTGGTAACTTATTAATGCTAGTAACATGGTACACAACAGTGTTCAGTAGTTATGTCGTATACCGTCGACACAAGCAGATAGGATTTTCTCATTTCTATAATAAAAGATCGCGTTGTGTTTAAAATAAGAATTATTTAACTGTAAATGAATTTGATTAATTCGTTTTAAATATTTAAGTATAAATGATTAAGCTTCTTATGTTTAACATTGTAAAAATCGATAATGTGTATTCGAAATAATGACCGTTCATAATGTGCAATTTTAAGTGTACTTTAATGAAAAAATAAGCTACGAAAAGAATATTATATCTAATTGGAAGTGTTTGAATTAGTAAAAATCATCTACCGATTATTGAAGCAAAAAAAAAATGTCGATTATGTGTGACAATGGTTTCCTCTAAAAATAATTTATTCTTGTTAATCAAAAGCGTCACTGCTTAAGGCCATGACGAAGCGAGGCAGCTACGATTATTGTATACATATGTGCGTATCCAGCGTGGCACAATACATACATCATGTTACAAAGTTGAAGAAACAAACATTTTTTTACCCGACACCGGGCTATTTTAGAAACAGTAATGAATAATAACGGAGAGTACCTTTAAAGTCAGGCATTTGCTCCCATTCTTTACGATATCGTTGCGTATAGACACGCGTTTTGGCATGGCTGATTTTCCCTGTTGGAGTAAGACGCTGACCCGTCGTCGTTAGAAGATTGGCATGTAACACCGTCTCGCTGGTCGTAATCATCGTCGGCTGGCACTTCTCCTCCATTTCTTCCGAACGCAGACCGATTCGAAATCGCCCGGATCTCAAAATACCCAAAATCGTAACACGAAATCACTAAATAGTTTTTTCCACGATGAAAGGGGGAGGGGGCACGCGGCAAGCACCGAGATCCTCGCCTAGCCTAGTACCGAAGTTAACTCCCTAGCAATGGCGGATAACTGCAACGTTGCAACGATGCAGCTTTTAACCCCCTCTGCTCTTCGTTGTTGAGCTGCCAACGACGCAACTACATTACCGTATAAAGCATTGTATGCACCCCATTCTCTCTTCTCTTCTCTTTACATTTGAATTTTACGGTTTTCTAGTATTTTTGTCATTATTTTTAACAAACACTTAAACTATACTTCTTTTTATTAACACATTAAATTATATCCTTTTATAAAATTTAAATAATTTTTAAATATATATACATATTCTTGCAACATTAGTGTCTTTTCATCAAAATAGTAATTATATTTTAACTATGTTAAATTTAAGCAATGGTAAAATCATGAAAGGATAATTTATTATATATATAGGAAGTAATAATTCTAATGTTTTAATATATGTCAATTGATACAGCATTTAGTTTTTGGATAATTAAAGATTACTTTCTTTAATATATTTTTCGCCAATTATATGTAAAATATGTATAACTGCATTACTAATTTTATCATACGTTTTTTCTTTCTTTTTTATATAGAATAATATTGCATTTATTCACTTCCTATCTACGATACTGTTTTCGGTAAGATGTATGAAACTATTGGTTGAATCGATATGCGTGCGCATTACAATATATACTCCATATTAGGCGGGAAAGATAGTAATTGGTTATATATAACAAAAGTACAGAACCCTTTATCTTAAAAATATCTTATAAAATATTTATTATGTGTTTATTAAATAAATCATATGTTTTAAGATCAAATACGATAAGATTAAATAAGGTGTGATCTTGCATAGAATTCAGGCTTTAAAGCGCCATCTAGATGGCCCTGAATTAATGAATCAATAATAGCGCCCCCTTTACAATAGATATGCAAATTAAGAATATCTAAATTAGGGGAAACCTTTGAAATAGTTTATGAAAATCCAAAAAATTTACAAATTAATCTGTATATATTCTTACATAGTATTTACATAATTTATGTTACTTTTTTATTTAGTTCAAATAGAGATGAATTTGTGTTAATTAAAATTACCAAAATATTTTTAATAAAAAGTTGCAGAGCATTTTGATATCCTTTACTAATTTTGTTTCCATATTAGATACATTTAGGACGTATAACAATGAACACACCAGCGAAGCTTGATCTCTTTAATATTTAGTGAAAAATAATCGAAAAAAGAATAAACATATTTTTACAGTAAAATCATAATTTATATTTTTATATTTTAGATATTATTACATTACAACTTACCGCCTGATGAAATAAAAAGTTATTATTTCTAGATTTTTGTTAGGGAAAAATATTTACTTTTGTACAGTTATATTCATTATTACAAACCAAAAATTTATGGATATAATATTACTAGCTAAAAAAATAGTGTTATTATTATAGTACTATCTCTTTACTAACGATCTAAAATTGTGTATAAATGTATTTTTAATATTTTAGAATGTAAAAATATACTGATATCTTATACTATGATTATAAGATGTAGTTACTTTGTGACATATAACTATACATGTATCTATAATCAACACTAAACAAGTATCAAAAATATTACGGACTTCGCTGGTCTGCAAATAAAAAAATAAAAAAGTTTAATTAAATTATACTTTCGGAATAGTATTTGAAACAAATTTAATAATTAATTACCGTTTATGTACATATCTATATTTTTAACAAGTTCTAAATATCTATAAAGAACTAGATTTTAAGATTTATAATTTCTTGGAGAATATTATTAGTATAGTATTAGTTAATATAACAATTTGGTTTTAATAATTAGTATTATAATTTGATTTTGCTTGTATAATTAAGTATATTTAATGTTTGATATTAACAATTCTTGTATGATTAATTAAGGGTGCACAAAAATGAAACAATAGAAATAGCAGGAAAAAATTTGTAGTGTCCATAGGTAGCAACTGTTATGATAATCTAAAGACGAACTATAAGTAATGTATAAAGATATTGCTAATATAATGAAAAATGTAATTTAAGTAATACTAAAAATTATAATAATTATGAAGAGTATATATTGAAGTGGGTCAATTGTATAACAATTAAAAAGACTGCTAAAAGAAGTAATGTTGATATAAGTAAAACAAAGAAAAATATATTCTTCAATTTCTATTTTTATTGTTGTTTTTGTTATAAATAATAAAAAATTATTCAGTGAAGAAAACACACATTATTTCAAATATATTTTAAAGAGTTTATAGACTATTACATATAAAGTAAAAATTGTAATAGCAAACAAGCATTGGTTCTAAGAAAAAAAGATCATGAAAATATTTGTAAACAGAAATAACACAATGTAGATATTAATAAATTGAATTTACCTATACAACATTCAAATGCAGCATTTACAATATATACTTCATGACAGAATATATAAGAAATTCAATACTTTTAAAAGCACATTAGTTTACATTAATATATATCAATAATAAGCAATGCGTTATTGCATTATGTGATATGTGATAAATTTATGTTCTTATTGATTGTATTACTTTATTATTAAAAATATATTTGGTATCAATAACTGAAATATGTATTTTCTTTATACTAATTTATTCCTTTCTATAGTTATATGCATTTTACAAAATACATAATAATTAGAGAATAACTAAAATATAAAGAATAAACTACGGCCAAGATGGTTGTTCTCCAGGTTTTAATTCCCTTCCAAATAAAGCTGATTTGTCACGGTATGTTGCCATTTTCGAAGACGCATAGTTGTATCCTGCACTTCCAATAATCTTCACAGTTATAACTATAGCGAAGGCTATAATGTGCTGTGTTAATAATGACAATTTCATATCTTTTATCATCTTTGTTTTAATTATGTGATTTCAACTGTTTCTGTTCGGCCAATTTTTTCTTCCACTGATGAGTATGATTTAAATCTGCACCAATAAGAGTAACGGTAACGATAGGCATAAAAGTTATTAGCCAATAACGCTTAATAATTTTTATAATTCCTTTTGCTTCCATGAAACTAAAATTATAAACATTTAACATATTGTTTGAAAATTACGCATAAAATGTAGTTACATTAATAATATCTTCTATCATGTAATGATAACAAATAATATTAAATATTCAACGGAAAAAACCATTTTTGATGAAAATTCAGTAAACAAGATAATGTTGTTAACTAATTTTATAAAATAAAACTAAGATTATTATATAAATTCTTACAATTAACTACAAGGCAGTATTAACAATAATATATATATCTTATTAAATTATATGTTATATAGTAAAATCAATATATCTTTACCTTTTTATAAATCGAATTACTTTGTAATTATTACGTTATATTTGAGGAAATTACGATGAACGTAATCATTAAATTCAATACAATTTATATATTACAATTGAGAAATATGAAAATTAGTTCATTTTTTTTTTTAAATATAACATTGTTCTCTCAAACGTTTCCAGTCAAGGATTGTATCAAGATACTTATCTGAATAGGTAGATGTTCTAAAAATTCGAGTAAACGAAGAAAAACTATATTACTATCTGAGAATTTAATATCGATGGCACTCTATAAACTAATTTTAAGAATGGGTGAAATAAAATGGACGGAAAATATTTTCAATTGGAATATAATATTAAAAAAAAACCAACAAAATTTTGAAATATATACCTGAAAATTAT